TGGCTGCCCAAGGCCCTGGGCTCCGGGCGTCCAGGTGGGGTGACTCCTGTGGGTGACGACCCCTCCCTGTGGTTGATTGAGTGTTGCTGCTTGGGCCTCATTTACATGAGGTTTTTAAGCATAATTAGAAACGCGACGAGCTTTGTGTCTTACCTCCCTCCCGACTATTTATGGCAAGATATGCAGATCAGGGGAACGGTGCATATTAAACACTGGGTGAGTGAGAAGGGCCACCGGCCCCACCCACCAGCAGGGCCCAGGTCACACTGGTGCTGCGCTGGGCTCCCATGGGCCCCCTGGGGTGTGGAGCCGCCCCTGCCCTGCCTGGCCACTCTAGCCCTGCCCTCCCCACCCCCGCCCAGTGCTGGAGTGGAGCTGGCTTCCGGAGTTACCAAGGGCGCCCGAGGGAGACGCTCTTCAAACTCCCGTTATTTAAATTACAAACATGGGTGAGGAGGTTGTCAGCTCTGTTCAAAACACTGCTTGTTAATTCTTTGGGAACCTTCTGGAACTCTCAGCAGGCTGTGGGGAGCTCTGTGGACGTGGAGGGGGTGCCACAGGGTGGGAGCCTGTGGGGCTCACCCAGGGCCTCTCCCAGGGCTGCGCCGTCTCCTTGACCCTGAGCTGTGTCTGGAAGTGAGGGGCAGGGAGCCGGCAGGTGCCGAGGGAGAGCCCCCGACCGCGGGACCGCGGGACCCCGTGCTGACCGGCTGCCCCCAGTGGGAAGGGGTTGATGAGTGAGATTTTGGAGCTGCAGCGTCCAGTGCCCCACCCGTGCCTTCCTGGGGAAGCAGCTTCCAGGCACACACTTGGGCCGTGTTTCTGTCTCACTGCCCAGGGCCTGGACACACACAGAGCGTTGCTTAGCCCGAGGGGCTGGCAGTGGGGGAGGGGGTCTCCTGCATGTGCCGTGATCACTCCCTCCCAGCGAGGGTCGAGTGCAGGACCACCACTGGGGCCTGGGCTGTCGGGCTCCGACCCCTGCGCTCTGCCCTGGGAGCAGGAGGCCGAGCCGGGCGGTGACCGTGTCTAGGCCGTGTCCTGACCCGCTTGCTGCCTGCAGGGGCCACTGGCCGTGTGCAGTCAGTGTGTTGTGGGGGGACTGGGCACGGGGCGGGCTCCTGGTAGCCCCTGCTTTTGCCTGCCTGGGCCTGGCGGGCTGCGAAAGAGTCCATTAGCGGCAAGGCTGCTCCTCTTGATGGTGTGTTAAAAGTTTAATGCAGACCTCTGGTCCAAACTGCCTGGGCCTCACCCAACTCCCAGGGGGCCTGGGTGTGCTCAGCTCTGCCCAGTCCGGATCCGGGAGGGTGAATCCTGGGCCTCCACCGGCCCCTCAGCCCCGCTTCAGGGGCAAAACAAATGGTGATGAAGCCCTTTCCCTACAGCCTCTGCTGTGAGAGCAGAGCAAAAGGGCAGTGTCCATGGTGACCGCCCCCGCCCTGGGCACTGTCCCCCGTGACCACCCCCGCCCTGGGCACTGTCCCCCGTGTCCACCCTGGGCGCTGCCCCCCTTGTCCAGCAGCTGCCTGCTTGCTCAGTCCTGTTGACCCCTCATCCATTGGAGTCCGATCCTGCAGAATTGCACGGTCCCTTCTGCCTCCCACCTCCGTGAGGGGTCCATACCCCTGGAAGTGTTTGGAACCTGCTGCCCATAGGGCTCCGGGAAGATCTGCAGGCCCTGGGGCCTGGGGAGGGTGGGCTACCTGCCAGCCTGGGCGTCCCACTCCCCAGGCGCTCCCTGAGCCTGGCCTGGTGTGGCCAGCCCTGGCCTGGCCCCAGCTGTCCCCATTTGATCCTGTGGGAACCTGCTAGGCCAGTGGAGGCCTCTTCCCTGTGTTTTGTTTGCTGTTGGGGCCCTGCCCCCATCCCATGTCTGAGGGAGGGTCCGCAGCGTCCCGTCCCCCACCCCGTGTCTGAGGAAGGGTCTGCAGTGTCCTGTCCCCCGCCCCGTGTCTGAGGGAGGGTCTGCAGTGTCCCGTCCCCCACCCCGTGTCTGAGGAAGGGTCTGCAGTGTCCTGTCCCCCGCCCCGTGTCTGAGGGAGGGTCCGCAGTGTCCTGTCCCCCGCCCCGTGTCTGAGGAAGGGTCTGCAGTGTCCTGTCCCCCGCCCCGTGTCTGAGGGAGGGTCTGCAGTGTCCCGTCCCCCACCCCGTGTCTGAGGAAGGGTCTGCAGTGTCCTGTCCCCCGCCCCGTGTCTGAGGGAGGGTCCGCAGTGTCCCGTCCCCCGCCCCGTGTCTGAGGGAGGGTCCGCAGTGTCCCGTCCCCGGCCCCGTGTCTGAGGGCCCAGGGCGTCCTGCCCCTGCACTTTCTTAGCCTCGGGGGATCTGTGTGTCCATGGGAGGTGCTTGCTCACTGGGTCCCACTCAGGGTGTGGTGCAGGCGGGGAGGGTCCTGGGTGCAGAGGCTGTGAGGTCCTCTGAGGTAGAGAGTTATGGGGCAAACTTGGGGTTCAGTTTGACCCCCTGGCTGCTCCACCTGTACATGCCCGTGTGGAGGGGACCTGAGTCAGTGGAGGGAGTGCCGGGTGCCGGGCAGGGCTGAGTCCAGCAGGTGGTGAGGAGGCCCTGGTGCTGGGGGCCAGGGCCCAGCGTCTTGCCCGCTCCTCGCCTCTGTGCGTCTGTATTTCTCTCTGTCTCTCCTCCCCTGAAGCCCAGCTTTGTTCCTACCTCGGGTGAGGCATCTAAGGACCTGAAGCCAGCCCCGCCTGGCACAGGTGTCCCGGGGACAGTGTACCAGCCAGGCCAGCTGTCCTTGATCTGCCTGGTGACCTGGGCAGCTCTCTGCCCAGGAGTGAGTGCCCAGCCAGCAGGGGCAGGGTGGGTCAACCTGCGGGTTTTACAGGCACCCCAAAGCCTGCTGGGGTGCGCCAGGCCAGTGCTGCGGCCGCAGTGCCCTTCCAGGAATGTGTGGGGTGGCATCTGCGATGTGCAGGAGTTCTCTGTGGGTCAGCGGCCCGGGGCCCACTCGCTGGTGGGAGACACGACCTGGGCGTGCCACCGAGTCCCTGGGTGCTGGCGGCTTGCCTTCCGGGGGATCATGTGCAGGCCTGGTTCTTGGGCTAGGAATCGGGGTCCCCTGGGAGCTCCCTGGGCTGGAGCAGCTGGAGTGTGTGACCCTCGTGTCCTGTCGCCCCTGGCAGTCTGCTTCTCCGGGACGCTGGCCGGGTGCGAGGGTCTGAGTGGTACCGCCGCCTCCTGCCGGGCCTGTGTCACTCTGTGGGTGGTGGGCAGCAGCGGGGCACCCTGGGTGCCCCGACACCAGGCCACCTTGGCCCGACACGCTGAGCCCTGGCAGCCGGGAGGTCTTGCGGTGGTCTCTTCTCAGGGTGGGGGCTGCACGGGGTGGGCTTGCAGGGTGAGGCCAAGCCACCCTCCCCCGCCCCCGCCGCCCCCCACAGCCGCAGCCTGTGTGGCAGAGTTGAGCTGCCTTTCCCGGGGGTCATTGGCATGCGTGGCAGCGCGGCTGACTGCCCGGCCGGCCCCGCCGCGGCTGGGCACCGCGAGCACCCCTCCACGCACAGCGGTGTTTCTGCCATCTTTGTTTGCATTGCAGTGAGTCATCACAAGTCTGTCTTGTACCAACACCCCGAGCCGCGCATTCCTCTGGCACCAACATGCCACTGTTTTGAAAGCCGGGGCTGGGAGCTGGCGTTGACTCCGGCTCCCAAATCAAAGGCGGCTATTCATCCCGGGAGCTGCCTGGGTGTGTGTCGTATCCGGACGCTTCATTGAGATGCTGCGCGCTGCCCCCGAGTGCCGGCCTGGGTGCAGCTGAGCGCGGCCGTGGAGCCCAGCGCCCAGCTCCTGCCGCCCCAGCTCCTGCCGCCGCTGCCTCCTCCTCCTCCTCCTCCTCCTCCAGCCCTCCCCACCCCAGGGCTCCCGCTCCGTTTGCTGCATTCCCGGAGCAGCGGGCGGGCGTGTGCGTGCGGGGAGCCCGGGCTGGGCAGGCAGTCACGGGCCGCTGGCCGCAGCAGCCGAAGGTAGGTCTCCCCCGCCGGCCCGGCAACTTGTGTGCGGCGGGGGTGCCGCGGCCTCTGCGGGAGCGCCCACCTGCCCAACTCCCGGTGCAGGGTGGCTCCGCCCTCCCCTCCTCCCGCCGCCGCGGCCGCCGCACTTCCCTCCCGAGGGACACAGTGGCCTTTGTGCCGCCCTGCCGAGTGGCCCGCGCGCGGCCCCCGCTGCCCAGCCCCCGGGCGGCTGCCGGCCCTGCCGGTCACCTGGGCTGGGACCACGCCAGCAGGGATTGGCCCGACGCCGCGGAGGGGAGGGCGGCGCGCTCGAGTGGGCTGCGACAGCTCCAACTCCTGCTCCTGGCAGCCGCTGCCCGTGCTGCAGCAGCCGGACCTGCGCCGGGGTCCGGCTGGGAGCGGGAGGCGCCCCCCTTGCCAGGCGCAGGGCTGGGCGGGGTCTGCGAGGTTGCCCCTGCCTGAGTTCGCGCCCCTGCCCTCCTTGGCACCTGCCGCACAGCTGCAGGACCCCGGGGAGGGCGGGGAGGCTGCAGCCCAGACCCCTCCCGCTGCCCCACACACCTAGGCCCTCTGCGGGGGGTTGGGGGTGCTGGGGAGGGGCACGCAGACCACCTGGCCTGGCGCTGCCGGGAGTGCTTTGCAGGCTGCGAACTTTTCCTGGGAGAGGAGTTGCTGCCGGGCTGACCCTGCCCAGGCTCAGGGCCACCCGCCCGCCCTGGCCCCTCCCCGAGCGTGCAGCCCCTGTCCTGACTGTGTGTGGGTGCAGGGGCAGCTGCGCGAGGCCCTCCCCCCGGGGCGCCGTGGTGGCCTGGCTTCCAGGAGCCGTTCCGGTGCCCCTGGTGGTCTCAGAGCCCATCTTTCCAGATTGTTCCAGCTGGTGGGGGCGGAGGGGGAGGGGACAGCCTCCGGGGTGAGCGCAGGGCGGCAGTGCTTGTCTGGCCTGGAGCTGACCACAGTGTCTCCCCACTCCCCGCTCGGTCCCCGCAGATGCGCCCCGCCAGGGCTGTCCGGCGCTGAGAGTCCGCGGCCCCCGGCCACACCCGCCTGCCCACCATGTCGCAGATGCTGCACATTGAGATCCCCAACTTCGGCAGCACGGTGCTGGGCTGCCTCAACGAGCAGCGGCTGCTGGGCCTGTACTGCGATGTGTCCATCGTGGTCAAGGGCCAGGCCTTCAAGGCCCACCGGGCCGTGCTGGCCGCCAGCAGCCTCTACTTCCGCGACCTGTTCAGCGGCAACAGCAAGAGCGCCTTCGAGCTGCCGGGCAGCGTGCCGCCCGGCTGCTTCCAGCAGATCCTCGCCTTCTGCTACACGGGCAAGCTGACCATGGCGGCCAGCGAGCAGCTGGTGGTCATGTACACGGCCGGCTTCCTGCAGATCCAGCACATCGTGGAGCGCGGCACCGACCTGCTGTGCAAGGTGAGCTCGCCCCACTGCGACTCGCAGACCGCCGCGGCCGAGGACGCCAGCTCCGAGCCGCAGAGCCCCTGCGCCCAGCTGCAGCCGGCCGCCGCCACCCCCTACATCGTGTCCCCCTCCGTGCCCATCCCGCTGCTGACCCGCGTGAAGCACGAAGCCATGGAGCTGCCCCCGGCCGCCGGCCCGGGCCTGGCCCCCAAGCGCCCGCTGGAGACGGGGCCCCGGGACGGCATGGTGGTGGCCGCCGGCGCGGCCCCGCTCAAGCTTCCCCGGGTCTCCTACTACGGGGTGCCCAGCCTGGCCACCCTCGTCCCCGGCGTCCAGCAGGCACCCTACTCCCAGGGGGAGCGGACAAGTCCGGGAGCCAGCAGCCTGCCCGCCACCGACAGCCCCACCTCGTACCACAACGAGGAGGACGAGGAGGACGACGAGGTTTACGACGCCATGGTGGAGGAGCAGTACGGCCAGGTCTACATCAAGTCCACGGGCAGCTATGCAGGTAACGGCGGACCCGGGCGGTCCCTGCGGGCACGGGCGGCGCTGGGCAGGGGCTGGTGGCTGGCCCGGAGGCAGCCTCTGACAGACACCCTCACGTCCAGGGCTGTAGCAGCATGTGTGGGAAGGGTCCCGCCGTGCCCTGGTCAGAGGGACCGCAGGCCTCTGTGTGCTGGGGACCTGCCCGCTGGCTCCGCGTCCTGTCCACAGTGTGCGTCGGAAAGTTCGTCTTTGGGACCTGTGAGCCCCAGGTTCTTTGCTCAAGTGGCCGCTCCTGGGGGGGACAGCACTGTGGACCGGCCAGGTTTGCTGTGCGCCCACTACCCCTTGGGTCCTCACACACTAGGGGTGAGGAGGGCTGTGGGGAGCCTGGAGCTCCAGCGGCTACAGACCGTGTAGCTGTGGCCCTGGAAGGGCCCCCGCAGAGGGGTTCCCTGCAGACCCCCTCCCTGACAGGTGTGGCGACACCTATGTCAGTCCTGCAGGAAGCCCCTGGGCCGCCCGGGGTGGCCGTGTGCTCGGCTTCTCCCATAACCCAGAAATGTACCGCCCTCCGGGCCAGACGGCCATGTCGCGGGAATCTGCCCCACGTGGCCTCCCGGGAATCTGCCCGATGTGCAGTTTCTGTGGCCCTGTGACAGCCCGGGGGCAGTGGCCCAGGCAGCTGGGGCAGGCCAGAAGGTCTTTCCTGGCCAGGCTGGGGGGCGCACGGCCTCAGGGACCCTGCAGGACGAGGGCTGTCAGGCGTCCCAGTTCCGGGGCAGCCCCCACCATCCTGCTATAAGGCACCGTCCTGCCAGGGCTCCACAGGCGGTTATGGTCACCTTGGGGCTGGGGACCGGGGAAGCCTCCCTGGGCTCCTCTTCAGCCCAGCATGGCTGTGGACTGACCCACAGGCACGCGACAGGGATGCTCGGAGTCGGCTGTCGGGAAGGCTGGCTGAGGCCTCCAGGCCGCGTGGCTCTGCCCCGGCCAGCCCAGGAGTGGGGCAGGGGAAGGGGCGTGTGGTTTCTTGGTTAAAATCTAGGTTATCGGCAGTGATATGACCAGCTGATGGGTTTGGGGGGCTGAGGGGTGAACGGCAGGCACACAGGGCCTGTCCCAGGCCCACGCGGAGCTGTGCCCTCATGCCCGCAAGGCGTCCGCCAGCCTGCTGGGCCTCCCCTCATCAGTTCCTCCTCCCATCACTGGAATCGCCCACCGTGTGCCAGGAGGGAGAAGTGGCCACGCGGGCGCTGCCCACGGGACAGCCTCCTGCTGCAGAATAAAGACAACCCCTGGGACAGGAAGTGGCTCCTGCCCCAGGACAGGAAGTGGCTCCTGCCCCAGGACAGGAAGTGGCTCCTGCCCCAGGACAGGAAGCGACTCTTCCCCCAGGACAGGAAGTGGATTGCCCTGTGGTCTGGCTTTATTCTGTCGTTGACTGTCTGTCTGCAGGGAGTGTTGTCTGAGTGCTCTGCAGGGGGTTGGGCCACCCGGCCTGAGCTCACCTGTGCAGGGGCCTAGGAGCGTGCACCTGTCATGGCCGCTGATGCCACCCTGGGACACAGCCGGACTGTGGGGACAGGGCTCAGCAAAGGCCAGCAGACAGGCCAGCACCCCTGCCAACATGCCCCACATGTCAGGACCCAGCCTGATGTGGGGCATGTTGGCAGTGAGCAGCTGGTGGACAGGAGGGCACTGCCGTGGTCTGGCACAGCGGTGGGCAGCGCTAGGTCCCCTTGGGCTGTAGGGGGCATGTTGGCAGTGAGCGGCCGGTGGACAGGAGGGCATCGCTGCAGTCTGGCACAGCGGTGGGCAGCGCTGGGTCCCCTTGGGCTGTAGGGGGCATGTTGGCAGTGAGTGGCCGGTGGACAGGAGGGCACTGCCATGGTCTGGCACAGCAGTGGGCAGCGCTGGGTCCCCTTGGGCTGTAGGCAGGTGGCATCTGTCCACAGGGCTATGGACATGACGAGTGTGGGTGCTGGGGTCCGAGATGGAGAACTCTGGCCCCGCAGGACGCTCTGAGGTCAGCCCGGTTCTGGGGGTGGCAGAGCTGTGGCCTCGGGAAGCTGCCCTCGTTGGCTGCTGGGGGCAGGGTCCCAGCCCTTGTCCCTGTCCCAGCCTGGGGTGCCCTGCTGTTGCGCCTGCTGTCCTCAAGGACAGATGCAAGGCCAGCGGCTTCCACAGGCCTCCTGTTCAGCCATCAGTCCGATTCCACAGGGGTGTGCTCCACTCAACTCGGTTTAGCCAGGGTTAGTGGCACTGGATGTCCTGGTGGCTCCATTGCCACCTGCAGCCCATCCCCCACCCCAGGCCTTAGCCGCGTCTCCTGACCCCGTGACCGCGGGCATCCCTGGGCAGGGACCCTCTGGCTGGACATGTACACGTGTGCATGGAAATTCAGTAATTTACTCTGCAAAGATTGTTTATTCACCTGAAAAGCAAAGTTAGAGAGGGAGGGAGGGATTTTCTCTCCCCAGGTTCACTGCCCAGACATTGGCAGCAGCCAGGGCTGGGCCGGCGCTGGGAGCCCCCTCCGTGTCTCCTGTGTGGGTACAGGGCCCCAAGCAGTCGGGCTAGCCTCTGCCGCTTTCCCAGGAGAATCAGCAGGGAGCTGAGACTTGACTGGGTGCTCGCCTGGGATGCCAACTTTGCAAGTGGTGGGTTAACTTGCTGTGCCACCATGCTGAACCTGGGGCTCCTGACTCAGCCCGGCCCAGTCCCAGCTGTTGTGGGCACTTGGAGCACGGGCTGAGAGAAGAAAGATCTTTCTCTGCTTTTTCGATAAATTAAAGGAATAAGGAATTACCTGGACATCCTCCCTACCGAGCGTTCAGGGCTGTGTGTCTGTGTGACATGTAGGGCACAGGAGCCTCCCCTGGCTTCCCACGAGGACGCATTGATGACATGGGGTGAGCTGCTTGTGTGTGCTCTGGGTCTGCTTGTGCTACCCGACGGGGCTGTAGCGCCTGTTGGGGCCTGTTGGGGCCTGTTGGGGCCTGTAGTGCCTGTTGGGGTTTTTGGGGGGCCTGTTGGGGCCTGTTGGGGCTGTTGGGGTTTTCGGGGGGCCTGTTGGGGCCTGTTGGGGCCTGTTGGGGCTGTTGGGGTTTTCAGGGGGCCTGTCGGGCCTGTAGCGCCTGTTGGGGCCTGGGCCACCCCCAGTTCACCTGCCCGCTCCCCGTGGTTGCTGTCTGGTCTTTGGCTGTGTGTCAGTTCTTGGCTGGAATGCGTGTCACGGTCAGCCCGCTGTCTCTTGTGGTGTTGTACCTGCTAGTGCACGTGGCTGGCTCATTCCTCGTTCCCTCCGTGTATGTCCCGGGCCCCGCGTGAACGCTGTGTCCGTGGCCACTCTGGGCTGCGCTCTGCCCACATGCGGTCACTGGCTCATCGTGTGCCCATGACCCTGCCGCGCCCAGGAGGGGAATGGTGGCTTTCTGGTTCCGCTCAGCCCTTGCCATGCACCTGCCTGCCGCCTCGAGGAGACAGCCGGCTTCTCTGTTCTCAGGGACTGCCCCGTGTCTGCTGGCCCACAGCGTGGCACTCGCCTGGCATGTGGGCATGTCCATCCTGCTCAGTGCCATGTGTGGTGGCCAGACCTGGGCTCTGCTGGCTGCCTTGTGTCCCTGGTGACTGAGCCAGGCCTACCGAAATCCCATCCTATGCTGGCTTTTTGTTTTTTTTTTTTTTTAAAGAGACATTTATTTGAAAGGGTGTGAGAGAATCTTGCATTTGCTGGGTCACTTCCCAGGTGGCTGGAGCAGCCAAGCCTGGGCCAGCTGTTCGCAGGTCTCCCTCATGGGCCCTTGGAACCGGAGCCTGGCCGCCTGCTGCGTGGCTCACTCCTGGGAGGCCGCCTGTCTCCTTGGCTGCAGGTGGTCTCCACGGGGACTCACGGTCCTCTCCACCTTGGAAAGCAGGACACTGTCCCCAGCAGTCCTTCCGTCCCTGCCAGCCTCCTGTCTGGCCAGCGTGGGCTTGCGCATCCCACTGGGGTGCTGGCCGCCCCGCCGTCCATCCTGCTCACCGGGAGTGGGTCCACTCCCAGCTCCAGGACTCAAGGTTTTAAGTTACTGTAGCCCTAAGGTGGCCATGCTAGCCCTCTTTGTCCACACGGAACATGTGTAGAGGCCGCACGGGCATCATGGCAGCCGGTGTGCCCCTGTGGCCCTCCTGGACCGTGTCTCGGAAGCCATGCCCCTGCCCCTGGGTGAGAATAGGTGGGTGATGCATTCCCAAGAATGCCAAGGGTGTGTTAGGACACCCTCAAACAGAGCTTGTCTCCGAGTACCCTGTGTCCAGTGGGAGAGCTACCCAGTGGTCACGCTGGCAGTGCTGCCCACGGCCCACATGGCGGGTCTGGATTCAGTTCCTGGCTCCGGGCTTCAGCTGCCTGAGACACCCCAGAGGCGGCAGCGAAGGTCCCTGGAGGCCCAAGCTCCCGGCTTTGGCCCAGGCGGGGGCTGTGTGGGCGTTTGGGGGTGACCCGCAGTGGACACCTTCTCTCCCCCAGCTGCCGTCTTCCTCGCAGCACGGCCTGCCCCCACCTGTCTGCGGACTCTGCTGCCGTGTGCAGGTTCTGTGTTGCCTGGAGCTGTTTTAACTTTTTCTTTAAAAAAAGTAAAGTTGTTTTATTTTGATAATCTTTACATAGTTGATTAGGGCACAAAGGGTCAAGGGCTACAGGAAAGTGGCCAAGACCATTGGAGAGATAAAGGGAGAAGCCCCACCCCGCCTCCCACCCGTCCCAGGCCCCCGATGCGGGGCGTGCTCCGGGGGTCCTGCTCAAGTGGTTTTGAGAGTTCAGTTCTGAATTCCTGCTGATCTCACCGTTCCAAGCTTGATGAAATCTCTCCAGAATCCGCTGGCTTCATAGTTCACCTAAGGATCTTGCATCTGCTGGTTCACTCCCAAATTAGCTGCAATGGCCAGAGCTGAGCTGATCCAAAGCCAGGAGCCAGGGGCTTCCTCCAGGTCTCCCACGTGGGTGCAGGGTCCCAAGGCTTTCAGCCAGCCTCCACTGCT